CTTGCTTTTTCTCTAACAGAATTTTTGGATTAGTAATTGAGTGAGAATTTTATTTAATTTAATTTTTTTTTATTATAATCATAAAAAATAATTAACACTAAATTTATCTTTGTAGAATGGTTTAAATCCTTGAAGATCTGAGTTAAAATCAGATCAGAAATAAGTTTTAATAGAGATTTAAAATTAAATTAATATTAATATTTTTTATAATTAAAAAAATCTAAATTATCTTTGTAAACTGGTCCAATCCTTGAAGTATTAAATTAAGGTAAGTTCTATAGAATTTTTATTATTTTTTTATTTTATTTTTATTTTTATTTTTAAAAAATAAAAATTAATATAACTTATCTTTATAGATTAATCCAAAATTTTAGATTGAAGGTAAGTCTTAATAGAGTAAAATATTTGATTAGTTTTTTTTTCTTTTTTTTTTATAATCATAAAAAAAACTAACATCAAACTTACCTTTGTAGAATAATCCAGATCACATCTCTATTTGTAAGAACTTACCTTTAAATTCTAAGGCTTGAATAACAAAACTTATAAAAATGTAAGCATTAATTAGTTACATTTTTTTCCTTTTTTATTTTTTTTTTAAAAAAATCAAACTCTTACCCTTCCCTTCCTCTATAGAAACTAACTTCTGACTTCAAGTCTTGAAATAACTCTAGACTTAAACGAACCTAAACTTGAGATAAATAGTAGTTTTAAGTAGATGTTTTTCAATTGAAAATGTTTACTAACATTTTTTTCTTTATTTTTAGGATGTCAGACTTGAAGTAAAATAGGTGACTTAGAAAGGTATAGAATAATTTGTTAGTTATTCTTTTATAAAAAACTAATATTTACTAATTTACTTTTGTAGGACTCTTAAGGCCTTAGTTAGGAATTAGATTAAGAGTAAGCATATTTGAAAAAATTTGTTAATAATTTTTTTAATTTAAAAATAAAACTAACTAAATATTTTATAGAATAATACAGATTATTGAAACATTGAACTGAATTATTTAATTTATTTAGTAATTTATTTTTTTTTAAGAAAAAAAAAATTTATTTCACATTAATACTTAGAGTTAAAATTAAAGTTAAAATTTTAAGAATTTTTTGTTTTATATTTTATAATAATTTAATTTAATTTTTTTTTTGATTGGTAAGTGTAATTAATAATTTTAAGCTTATTTATTACTTTTATATTTAAATTAATTTTATCTTTATTATTTTATATTAGGTTAATTTAAAAGATTTTATTTTATTAAAATAATTTATCTATTATTTTTTAATAAAATTTTATTGATTTATTGTATTTCAATAAATATCCTTATATATTTTATTATATATAATGAAAATTAGAAGTGATTATTTATGGCTTAGGGTCTGACGCATTCCCTTTCTTATAAGTTTTAACTTGTTAAATTCAAATTGAATTATTTTGATTGTGTTATATGTTGATTTTTCTAAGTTACTGAATTAGGGTTTGAAGTAATCACATTCAAATAATACTGATGATTTAACAAAGTTTAATTGATAGTTTTGTAATTGCAATTTAATTTACATCTTTTTCCTAAATAATACTTGCTATCTCTACGTGGTGTTTATAATCAACAGTTATAGATTTTATATTTGATTAACACTGTTGAAATAGTCCAAATTGGCTAAAAATCAGATAGTTAATTTTAGGCCAAATTTGATACTATTTATGGCTGATTTGCTATATTTTCTGATCAGCACAAATAGATGCTGATAGATGCTAATCAATCCCAATCAGACATGGCTATTCAGAACTTAAATTCAACTACAAATCAGCCTAAAACTGGTCTCAATTTGGCAACAATTCAGACGTCAATAGATGCTGATCAATTCTAATCATACATAGCAATTCAGCATCAATTCAGAATTTAAATAACCATAAATCAGCCTAAAACTGACCTTAATTCAATAATAATTCAGACGTTGATCAATGTCAATTAACTCCAATCAGACATAGCCATTCAGCATTAATTCAGAACTTAAATAACTATAAATCAGTCTTAAACTGGCCTTAATTCAGCAACAATTCAGACGTCAATTGATACCAATTGACTCTAATTAGACAAGCAATTCAGCATCAATAATCGGTACATTTTATATATTTATTTATTAAATATTAAAATTTTATTAATAATAAAAACCTAATATAAATTTGTAAAAATATAAAAATATAACAAAAAAAATATCACTAAAATCTACTGATTTAATTTCCTATTAAAAATAGAATAATAAAATAATAAAATATGATCTATTTCCTCTCAAAATCTCTTTAAATTATCCTAAGTATAAATAAATAAATAATATATAATAAAAATATGATCTATTCCTTCTGAAATCGCCTAAAAAACATAAATATAATAAATATAAAATGTAAAAATAGAAAAATCAACCCAAAATCACCTGAAAAAAAATGTAAAAATAATTATTAAAATCGACCTGTTCCCACCCCAAATCACCCAAAAAAATGTAAAGATAATTATTAAAATCGACTTATTCTCATTCTAAATCACCCAAAAAAATGTAAAGATAATTATTAAAATCAACCTATTTCTACTCAAAATTACCCAAAAAAACGTAAGATAATTATTAAAATCAATCTGTTCTCACCCTAAATCACCTGAAAAAATGTAAAGAAAATAATAAAATAATAATAAAATCGACCTATTCTCACCCTAAATCACCAAAAAAACGTAAGATAATAATAAAAAATCGACCTGTTTCCACCCTAAATCACCAAAAAAAACGTAAAAATAATAATAAAAAATTGATCTGTTCTCACCTCAAATCACCCAAAAATTTTCATTCACTATCGTCTATTATAGGATTATCTTCACTTTCTTCAGCAGCAGATAAAATCCCCTTCTAATTTCAGTATATTCTTCAGTTTCAGTTACATATTCTTCTGCAGTTATAACTCCTGCTTCAATCTCAATATTGTAGACTATACTAGGTTGTGCTTTATATGATTACTTTAGAGCATTATAGAAATGTTGTCAGTCATAATGCTGCACATTATCATTGTATTTTATTTTTCATTGAATTTGAGATAATGATGTTACAGTAGCACTTAGTATCTTTATTAAAAGAATAAAAGAAAAATAATTCTACAGTTTTTACTCTAATATGAAATAATTAGAGTTTTTTTTATATACATAATATAATAAAGATAAATTAGATTATTATATTTTGTAAAAATAATAAAATTTTCTATAAATTTAGTTACTAAACATTTATTTAATAATTGTACAGAAGTTTCTGTAGATTAAAGATAATAATATTTATGAATATTAGCCTTATTTTAAATAAGAAGAATATTAAAATATAAAATATAATTCTGAAACTAATTTTATTAGTTTTAAAACTTTAAAGTATTCAATAAATATCATAATTAATTTCTTATTATAATTTTATCTGATTATATATTTTTTTTTATAAATTATAAATTTCAACTAATAAGGTTATATTTATTTTAGTGATTTAAATTTTACAAACATTAGCTTATTTTAAAGATTTGATATCATAAATTTGTGATTTTATTTTAGCAATTTTGACTAATTAATTATATTTTATAAGCAATTAATAATCTTTTATCATAAATTTTACATTTTAAGATTTTATAATTCATCATTTTAGGTAATAAGATCTTGACATAATCAGAAAATTAATTCAAAATACATTTATGAATATTTCTTCTAAAATTGACTTTAGATCTGTTTAAGATCTTACCAATTTTCAAATTTATTGTAGCTTCTTGTGATGATTAAATCTGAATGTTTTTAATTTTGTTTGAAAGAGCTGAATCTATCAAATCTGGATATCAAATTTAATAGGAATTGGACTGGTAGATATTGAAATATTCATATTCAAAATTCGTCATAACAATTAGAACTTTACATTTTTATATTTTTCTTTTTTTTTTATTTCCTTCCGGTTTGTTTATTTATTTATTTTTTTTTTTAATTCCCAGTATTTTTTTATTAAAATTTTTTTATTATTTTTTTTTATTATTTTTTTATATTTTTAATCTTTTTTTTTTTTTATTTTTCCTTTATTATTTTTTTTAACTTATTTTTTAAGTTTTTTTTTTTTTGTATTTCTTTTTTTTTATTCTTTTTTATTTAGTTTCATTTTTTATTCATTTTTTATTTCAATTTACTTTTTTTTCATTTTGTTGTTTTTTTTTTTTTGTTTTTTTTTTTGTTTTATTTTTTTATTTTTTTTTCCTTTTACATTTTTTTTTATTTATTTTTTTTTTGCAATTCGTTTCTTTTTTTCTTTTCTTTTTTTTTTATTTTTTATTTATATTTTATTTTCGTTTAGTTTTTTTTTATTTCATTTTTATTTTTCTTTTTAGTTTAGATTTTTTTTCTTTTTTGCTTTTTTTCAAAAAAATAAAATAAAAAGAATGAAAATAAAAATAAAAATAAAATAGATTTCGGTGGATATGCCATTTAATTAGTAAATGCGATATAATGATATCACGTGATAAATACAAAATTTGGCTCCGTAACGGTCTGGCGAATCGTATCGTACTGGTTTTCCATATACTCGAAGAAGAAGGTAGTGAAAGAAAAAAAAAAAAAAGTCAAAAAAAGTCAATTTGAAAAGGCCCCATATAAAATTAATTATATAGATAGATATAACAATATATTAGTAATGCTTTAACATATCAGATTTTCTATGTTATGTTGATCCGCTTACAATATATAAAAATATTATTTTTATTATTTATAATGGATTATATATTAATTCTTTTTTATAAATTATTTATTTATAAAATAGATTAATTGAATATTTACATGTATTTTTATATTAAAATTTTTAAAAACTTTTAAAATTTTTTTTTTTTGCTTTCTAATTCTAAATAATCATAATATCGTAATTTGAAATTATAATACATGTTTCAGCAAAATATTAGTAGTGTAATAAAATAAGATTATCTTAACGAATAATATATTATAATATTTTTACTGTTAATTATCCCATTTGTCAACATTTAAAAATTCATTTCCGATTTTTTCTAAAAACTCTTGTAACGCAACTCTAACATCTGATTTATCCACACCAATTATCTTAATTGCTAACCGATAAAAGTCTGGTATTTGTTTTCTTAATCCAACTAATCTTGTAGTTTTTGAATCATGTATTTCGCCAGCATCATCATCAAACAAATCAGTATCACTATCTCGTCTTCCATCATCCCATTTCGTTTTACATAATTCTCTTAGTACAGTTATTACCAATGGTGACCAACTGGTCATCTCTCGCTGTTGTTGACTAGACGCTGGTTCATTGATTAATCGGATAAATCTTTCAAGAACTTTTGTTGATTCTTCTACGAGTGGTGGCAATAGATCTTGATCTGCATCACCAAATGTTCGGTATAAATCATAAAGAATTGAAAGAAATACTGATAATGCTAATGTTTCTTGTTTTGTAAGATTGGGCATTTGCTGAACATATCCTGCTCTCCATAATGCATGTCGAAGGTCGTGATTTGCATTGAAATTATGTGCAAATTTATAAGAGACATAGAGGCATCTCAACCATCGATTTCGATATTCAGCTGGCATTTGTGCAAGATAATGAACATGTTCTTTTGACCATGCCATTGCTGTATCGTTAAGAGCAAGATCTTGAACTGATTGAATGGCAATAAGTTGTGCTGCACATTTAATAATTGCATGAGGAAAATCAATATCGACCTTTGTAGTTATAGCTGTTACCTGAGAAGTTGAATATGGGGAAAGAGATGGATCTTCAACTGTGATGGAATCTACAGAGTCTCTTTCCGATTCATAGGAAGAACCATTTGGAACATGATTGCCGTTCTCTAAATGACTTAATTTGGCACTAATTATCTCGTCCTTGTTATTATCCCCAATTTCAGTAGATGCAACTGTATCAACTTCCAAAAGTTCTTTTGGTGTGGTCCATTTGAAAATTTCTTCAAGCGTGGTAGTTACTATTCCCCATGTAACTCCATCAAAACGAATTCCATTTCTGGCAATTAAATTGTGGAAACATCGAATACCTGTCTGTCCTAATTTTTCATTTCTACGTTTAAGAAGTGCCACGAGTAAATCTAATAGTTCTATTAGGAATTCATGATTTGTAACAAATATTTCATGAAACCGAGCATAAAGGTCTACCATCAACCTTATTGTTTGAATCCAAACTTCTGCTGTAGATTCACGTCTTTTAAAATCTACCGCTGAAGACGTTTGTTGTGATGGAGTTGGCTCTTTAAGGTCTTCAAATATAGGCATTATAGCATTTCTAAAAATCTTTATCCAATAATTTATTTCGAACAAATGTCCTGTAGATTTTAATATATCGAAAAGAGCTTCTAATGCTCTGTTTCGAACAGTTTGAGATTCAGAATCTATAACTAAGCGAGATAGTCCTGAAACAACAGGAAACCATTTCAAAAAGAATTGCTCTTCTTCAATATGTTGTAATTTCTTTTTTTGAAGCGTAGATTGTTCTGAAATTGATGGTATAACCATCATAACATTCTGTTTATTTTCAGTTTTTTCAGACGTATTATCAACATCCTTTACTAAAACTTTAACGCATCCTTGTAACATTCTTATCGCCTCATTAACAAGTTCCTCTTCCTTTGCATTAAAGGCAAATTCCACAACACAATTCACAAAATCAACAAACGCTGTTCCTATAAGATCTAAATGCTTTTGATAGACTAGTCTAGCAACACCAAAAGTATTTTCTACTAATTGAGGGTTTTCATCAGATGCAGCACGACCGAAAACAACAAATATGCTCTTCCAACCAGATTTAATGTTTTTTGCACGAGCAGAAATCATTTGAATAAATGATTGTATAATAAGATCATGAATATTGGGTGAAGGATTATTTTTAATTATGTGCTCAAAAGGTTTCATAAATTCGCTTTGAGTGTTATAATGGGACAATTCATCTCTTTCCAAAAATTTCATACTTAATTGTCGAAGAGAATCAATAGCAAAAATAGCGACGATGTTATTAGGATGGCACCCAACAGTATTGAAATGAGGTTGGAGAATTTTCCAAATTTGTGTCCATTCAAACCGAATTCTTGACATATTATAATATGCAATTTCGACAATACGCTGTAAACTATACATTCTCGGTGACGTCCTTGAAGAATTTACTTCTTCAAGAGAAACCGAGCATAATGCATTGAAAAAGTGAACAATTGCATCACCACTTAATTTGACGCTATTGGTAAAAATTCGATCAATAGCAATTATAGTACTTTGTGATTGAAATTCTTTCATAACACCCCCTAGAGAACTACGACGCGTTCTATTAACACTCTGACGATGTGGAGCAGATGTCGTAGACGATGAAGTACTTGAAGGACCTGTAAAACTTGTAGAAGATGGCAAAGAATTTTTATTATTTTGAGAAGAATAATCCAATCCACTTACACCTTCTGCAGTGTAAATAACAGATCCCGTTGAACTATCAATAAGCTGATAACGTTCCATTGTAGATACTGTCTTTAGAACAATAAGCCAAGAGGATTGTAAACCTTCTCCATAAGAATTAGCAGCGGTGAGTAATGTCTTTATAGCTGCTACATTCTTCGACCTCATTTCATCGACATGATTTAAACCCGTTAACTTAGCTAATGAAGACACGAAGGCATCTCTTTCGACATCCATTCTGAAAATACTACTAATTCTAATAGCACCAAGAAATCCTTCAAGACAAAGCTCAACTGATTCTTGGCTAGCTTGTATAAACTCTGCTGCTTTAAAATTTCCACTGGTATAAGCGTCTTCGAAAATAAGACTAAGAGTAGCCATTAAGGGCCAACATACAATTGCAAACATTGGCTTAACATGATCTGCGTGTGAAGCACTTCGCCAAACAGCTGGTGCATGACCTTCCCTGTTACTCTTTAGCAACGCCTGACTTTTCTTTTGCATTTGCGAAATTTCTCTTTCATATAATTCTTGACGTTCACGATCATTTGCATGACTAATTGCAGTTTTTGCTACCTCTGATATTTGCTCTTCCTCCATAACGATTTCATTATTAGCAATCTCTTCAAATATTTTACCCAGGAATTCGTCAGGTAAATCATTATTATTATTAATACCTCGATTGTTCCTTATGAATTCAGATTTATCCATACGTCTTTTAACTTGTGCCGAATGTTGGTCGGTATTCAACATGATAACAGAATATGCGAGAATATATGCAGTATCGGCGTTTGCGAAGACATCTGGATTATTTTCACAATAACGATCAGCAAACTTTTCCATAATTCGATCAATTTTCTGAGATTCGCCAGGAAGTCGAAATGTTTGTAAAAATATTCTCAAGGCGTCAACAAATCCTAATCCCGTAAAATCTAATCGGTCCACAAAGGCATGCATTATTTTGATTGCTTCTGGGTCACCTTCACCCAAGTATTCTCCTATAGCTGCCTTATTTAGACCAGGAGTTGAAGAAAGGAAAGATATTATGCTAGCGGTATCATTTTTTAGGAAACCATTTCCTAATAAGAAATTAAGTCCCTTAAGTGGTTTTGTGTTGAACAATTTAATACCTTCACGTAAAGTCTGTTTACGCGACATTATTTCTTGATATTGTGCTGGATTATCCTCATAATCTTCTATGCCTATACTACTACCACTAGAATTGGCATGTAATGTAGAAAAATTTACATTAAGTAAAGGATTTTTTGAAAAAATTACTGGGGTCTTGTCTTCTGAAAAATCAGGTGAGGGATTACGAGAAGTTTGTGGAGTCTTTACACCATTTTTTCTTTCCAAATCTTTACACCATTCAATCAAAGATTTAACAATTGCTATTAAACATCTCAATCCTTTAACTTTTAATATTTTATCTTGTAAAGCCATTAATTCTAAATTTGATGAATTTGTACCCATTAAATTACCCATTGCCGATCCACTTGGAACTTTTGTGCGAATTTGCGAAATCTTAGATAATGAAGTTACTATACGTTCGAACACGCTAGCCATTGAAAAATCACAATCGTAATTCAAATAAATATCTAGCAAAATTTGCGGTTTTTGACAAATTTTCATTAGGCCCTGTAATACTAAATGTTTTTGTTGATAAGTCGCATTTGACATATCTAAGAACCTTAGATAAATTTCACTAAACAATACCTCTAATTCTGTTTTCAGAGGTGCACGATAATATCGTAATAACATTAAAAAATTGGAAAGAGAAAGTTCAAAAAGTTGTTCATTAGATGATACTCCATTCTGTGATAATGAAACGCATAGAGATTGGCGAATTAAATTAATAAATAGTTCATCCGTGTGAAAAATTGGTCCAGAATTGTCCAACATAGATAAAATTAGTTCTAAAACTAAAGAGCGACCACGAAGATTTATTTCTTCATTTTGAGAATTTTCATTTGATTCGGATCGCATAGAAAGTCGACAAAATAATCTAAAGGTTAAATAAAGGTCTTTACGTAAGACATTCAATGCATTACGAGACGCGTCTCTTTGATGACGTATTTCTCTTAATTTCTTTCCAGCCTTAAGGGGAGGTATTGTGATTTTGAGTTCTTTTTTGGATGCTAAAGATGATCTCCTCCTCTTTAAAGGTTCGATCTGTGTATTGTCATCATTAGATGATTCAGATTGCGTAACCTGAGCAATTCCATTTTCTTTTGTATCCTCATTTTCTAATTTATTAAATTCTTCAGAAGAATCGTCCTTTTCATTAACTCTTTTCTCATCAATTATTTCATTATTAATTTCTTGTGAGTTAGATTCTTCATTAACAATTTCTTTTTCTGTAATAGTATCTATGATGACTTCTGACGATTCCTCGGATAATTTGCTCACACCATTTATATTTACTGATTTTGAATTTGTGATTGAATCCGATTCAAAAGCTTCAACGCTATAATTCTCATCTTTTATGGAAGAATTTGAAGGATGATTTTCATTAAGGCCTTTTTTTTCCAAAGGACCTTCTATCACTTTATTAATTTGCTCAGCTTTTGAAATTATTCCATGAGTGGTAACATTTTTTGAAACTTCTTGTTTTGATAATTCAATAGAAAATTCTTTCCACCTAGCAACAATTGCATTCGAAATTTGAGTTAATTCAGCTTTTGCAGTTGCCTGATTTACCATACTTTTTGAATAACAATAGATATTGCAACAAGTTTGAATAATTTTTAATAAACTAATTCCATGAACAGGACATTGTTCAGTAGTAACAAGTGTAAGTAACACTTTTAATATTTGAAGTTGAACGGTTTGGTCGGTTTGAGGACCAATAAAACCAATACAAACAGTATGGACAACATCATCAATTAATCGGGCAGGATTAGGGAAATTAGATAAATTATTTTCTTCGATTCCATTTGACTCTTTATTATCAAAAGGTGTAGATATATCAATATATGACATATTATTTGTTTCACTAAAACCACCATTATTTTTTATTTTTTGATCTTTCTTTTTTATTTGTACGTTCTTTGGAGGTGCGATTGGATTTGATCCTTTGAAAAGTCCGTGGGCAATAACCTTTTGTAAGCAATCTAATGCTAAATTTCTTATATTATTTGGCATTGAGTTACCACAAGCAATTCTAAATGGTTGCCAATAATTATCGGCCATAATTTTCGGTAAATCTTCTCCAGCACGTGCGAATAAACTGCTAGAAAGGGATACTCGTCCATTTCCACTAGAAATAGCACTAGGAGAAGCGTTTTCAATTGATTTCCCCGGTGACGAACTACTTTTTGTTTTTCCCTCCTTTTCGCTAGTTTCACTAGTCACTATTCCACCGTTTAAGTTCGAAGTAGTGGAACTTTCAGTTCTGTCTTGTTTATCTTTTAAGTTTGTTTCAATCGAAGCATTTTCTTTTGTGACTGTGTCTATTTCTTGTAATAGTTGTTCTACCGCTGTTGAACAAACTTGTTCAAGTTCCTTTTGTTTTGATGATTGAGCCTCGGCAAGAAGCCTTTCCAGCGCACCCTTAAGGATGCTCATTTGTAAAGTTTGTTGTGAAAGTGTAGAATAACGGTATAATCGACTATTTCAGTCCAAATAGTCCTTTCGATTAAGCTTAAACCGCTTTCTAGTCACTTACACAAAAATTATTTGTGAAAAAATAAGAAATTTATTCAAGCCACAAAATTTGCATAGCCTGAACTGAATTTAGTCTCAGTTCCGTGAGGCAGTGTAACTTTTTTTCAAACCACGTTTCTAAACTTAGTATCAATCGTCACATGCCATGATTACTAAATATCATACAAATACCAATTATAGCCGATTTCATAATTGGTCATTCAATTGAATTACTTATTATCTTAGATTAGTCGTTACAAGGAGATTTTCATAATTTCTTCTGATATGTTTATTCTATTTTATATAGAATTACTTTTTCTAAATAAAGATTTTGTGGAACTACCGCATTTTTTTTAAAAAAAACTTTTTTGTTAAAATTTTAAATTTTATTCATTTAAAAGTTTATTAAATTTACTAATTTTATTTTTTATTAATTTATTTTTTTTTTAGTAAAAAATGATTTTAAATAATGATAAAATTGTACTTTATCTTTTAGTTTTAAATATTTGAATAATAAATCTTACTAAAAAAAATTTTCTTGATACTCTTCTTTCATATAATATTAAATATTATTAAAAATTATTTATTATGCAATTTACAATATATATATGTTGTAAAACTGCTCATTATAGATTAACCTATACTTTATTTAGTTAAATATATGTTGTTACCTATATAATAAAACTGTTATCTAATTATTTATTAATAATAATTATAATATTTTTTAGTATTTTAGTTAATGTATATTATAGTTGCTTATAATAATATTTTTTGTATGTAATTATTTCAATATATATATATATATTGCTTTTTTATTGTTTTTATTTTATTATTTATTACTTTGAAAATTTCAAAATTGATTTTTATGCAATCTGAAATTGATTAAAATTTAATCTAAGCTAAAAATTTTTCATATTAATCTGAATCATTCAAAGCTTTACTTATTAAATTTTTTATAATTAAAAAATTAAAATTGGCTATTAAATTTAAAAATTGCAATAAGTTTAAAATATTTTAACTAATTGGTATATATATTTATTTTTGACTTTTATGTATTAATTTTATTTTTATAGTTTTCTATATTTATGATACTTTACTTTTTTTAATATCAAAAAAATTGCTAAATTAATATAATATTATATGATAATAAATTTTCATAATACTAATTTAAACTGATTAAATCTAATTATAAAATATAAATTATTTTATTTTAAAATCAAAACAGTTTTGTTAGAAAAAATATATTACAAGCCTTTTAATATTATTAAAATTATATAAATTTAATTTTTAAATATTAAGATATTATATTTTAAATCTAAAATTTTAGAATATATTTATATATTATAATTAAAATTGCTAAACAAAATCTAAAAGTTTTGATAAGCATTGAAATTGAAAAATTTTATTAAATATTTTATTAAAGATAAAATTGTGAAAGGTTTGATAAGTAATAAAGATTTAACAGATAGTAAAATTCATTGAAATCTTTTAATATTAAAATACAATTTTTGAATTTTAAAAATTTATTATTTTTGTTTATAAATTATATATATCAAAGATCATTTTATTTTATAATATTATATATTTATATATTTATAAAAGATAAAAAAAATTTCAAAAAATTTACATATTAAAGATGAATTAATTTATTCTTATAATTTAATTATTTTATTTATTTTCTAATTAATATTTTCTTCATTTAAACTTATAATAGTATTCCTATCTTTTTTTTTATTAAAAAATTATCATTTAAGGGTTAAAATTGGATTTAATAATTCAGATTTATTTAATTTAAATTTAAGTTTATTTGAATCTGACTTATTACTTATAATTAAAACTAAATTAATTAAAAAAATAAAAAACCATTAATCAAAAATTTGCTATTAAATTAAGGTATGAATTAATTAATAATAAAAAGGAATAAATTGTTTTATTTTACAAAAATAATTTGAAATAAGCTAAAAATAATTTCTTATACAATATAATGATTATAATAATTTATCTATTTGATATTTAATAGCATTAATATGAAATTGTTTTATGTATAATAATATGCTAATAAAAAAATAATTTGTTAATTTAAAATAAATATTAGAATTGGATTTAATATTTAGATTTAAATTAAGATTTAATTTATAAATCTGAATATAAAAATAAATTCAATTAGGAGAGTAACATATATCACATCATTATAAAGGGAAGGAAGAGGTATTAAATATCTCATCTCTCATGTGATTGTAAGTCTAACTATTTCTTTTATTTCTTTGATAATTTTATGTATTTTATTTTATATAAATAGAGATTATTTTCTTTTAGCTTAACAGTATGTCTTGTATTTGGTATGTCCGATAAGTAGTTTTATTAAATAGTTTACTTTAATCTCTTTAACATATTTGTATATTACAGAGGCAGTACTCTATTGCTAGTTTCAGCCTCCAAAAGATTTTTTTGGCTACAATTAAAACTCAGATGATATTCATGAATCTTCACGTGTAAATACATAAAAGATCTACTTCAACCATTTTTGTTATGGTTTTTAAATTAATCAATTAAAGATAATCTAAAGTTATCATAATTTGTTTTTTTAACGCACTTTCAGTATAACAAGCAATTTATACTTCACCCGCTTCCAGCAATACCAACAACAATAATGTTGCCAATAACAAAAGTAATAATCTAACTGAGATAAAACAATTAAAATCTCGTTATTATGAATCTGAGCTAGAAAGGGAAGGGTTAAATTCTTTAACGGAATCTTTAAAATCAAAAATCAAAGATTTGTGCACTACAGCAACAGATCTTTTCCCAAAAAAGTACGATAAAATCTGCCCAAGATTTAATATCACAAAAGGAAATTTTATTAGACCAGATAGAGAGGTATCAAAAGGTTACCAATTCAGAATCGCATCTAAGAACCATTAAAAAGGAAATCTTTTCACTAAAAGAAAATAATAATGGATATATAAAAAAATACAATGAGTTGCAACAACAAAATGTTTAAATACAACAAAAGAATAATTTATTAGAAGTAGATAAGCAACAATTATCTAAAAAATTGAAAGAAATTGAAGAGGAGAATAATTTATTAAATAAGGAATTGAAACAATTTAATGAACGATTCAATCTAATTGAAAAAAAATAGACATGATATAAAAGATTCTTTTTGAAAAATTAGATTTAGATCATCGTAGATTACAATGTAAAAATTCGGAATTTGAATTAGAAATTGAAGCTTTACAAAGTGAAATTAAAAGACTTCGCGAGAAATGTGTCTTGCAATATCATGAAATTGATGAATCAAATAAATTAAATGATAAATTATAAAATGATATCAAAGCCTTGAAACATGTCATCTTCGAGCAAGATCATGTCCTCCGGAAAAGAAATCAACAAGTTAAAATTCTTTGTGATTTTTATTAAATTTAAAAGATACTGTAAATTAAATGATCCTTCTTTAATTTTATATAGGTGAATTTTTTTTTATTCGTTTGTTTGATGGTTGGATGCGTAATGATTGTTCATGTGACTTGAATACTTTTTAAAAAATGGAGTGCATCTGGCATATTGTAACGTATGCAACAAGTATATAGTGAGAATTCGATACAAGGTATATTCCTTTGTTTAATCGCTTCTCCAACATTTCAATTTTTTTTTCTCACTGTAAGTTCACTTTTAGTATGGTCATTGTGATTATTATAATATATGTTCAAATTGCGAAACATCAAACCATAATCGCGATCATGTATTTATTAAGATTAAGCATCTAATTGGTAATGATAGATTTGCAAGAACTGCTTATTACTCGAATTTAAATTAATCGAACAAAATGAACAAGGTAAAGAAGAATAGATGTCTTTATTATCATTATTATTTTGATAGTCACTTTTATTTAATATTTATTATTAATTTATTCGTTCTTAGATATCGATCATTAAACCGTTTGTAAATATTTGTCACAAAATATTAAAGGCATTAGGTACAAGATAAATCAATTGTTTTTTTTTGAATATAAAAAAGGAGAATGCTGAGTAAGATTTCCCCCCTTTTTATCATTTAGTGTGAACATTGTTTTAAATTTGAAATGTGCGTGATTTGTGAGGCATATCCATTTAATTTACATGATCCCACTCATGTATTTATAAAAATTAAAAGACCTGTACAGATTGATTCTAATGAAGCTATATTACTAAAGCCGCTAACGTGTAGAGGGGTTTCTTTTTAAAATTTTTTTATTTGTTGTTATTAGTTTGAAATATTGAGGAATTCTTTCTTTTTCTGTAATTTTATTGACTTTATGACTTGCCTATAACATGATATGAAGTCACAATAATAATATTAATAAACATTTTTATAATAAGGTCATTTGCGGTATACACTGATCCATGCGAGATGTAACTGAAGTTTAAATTGTCAAAGAATAAATAGTAATAGAATAAACCTTAGAGATCGTTGATGCGCGTGCTAAGGCTTTGTCTACCTAAACTAAATTTAACCAGTTAATTAATTAATCAAGATTTTAACCAATTCTTATTAACTAACCCCTAGTTAAAGTAATGTGGCCTTGTTGAGAATCAGGATTAGGTAGTTATTAAATTTGAATTTGGGATATATGATCGAATGAAAGGCGCTAGCCCCTCTCCCAATTCACAATATAAGATAAGATCATAGTCATTCCAATAATCAGATGATTAGGTTTACAGGAGGAGTTTGAAAGTTTTTAAAATTATTTGATCAATTTATTTTTTATATAGGATATTTAGAAAGATAAAGAAATATCTACAAACTATGTAGTCGATTTTATTATAAATATGGTGAAATTTTTGGGATCATAATGTACTTACTGTATATCAAAATAAAAACAGCCTTTTAACATTAAATTTGTGCATCGCTACTGGAAATGAAAAGAAAATAATAAAATAATGTATTTAATTAAAATATTTTTCAAAAAAACCCTATTATTACCATCAAATTTTTAATACTAGCAAGACTGTATAAATGATAATATCCAATTGACTTTTGTAATTCTGAAATATTCTCACAATCCCAACTAAATAATAATTTAAATTAAACTTTATATAGCAATACCCAGACATTTTGAATATTACATAGCAAAAAAAACTGACATTCAGATCAGAATCTACAATTGCAGAACTTCATCATAATAACTAAGCCAGCGTTTCTTATTAGAGTTTGCAAGATCAATGGTATCAGTATACAATGAATATGTCATATTGTTAATATCATCCTTGTAGTTATTAAACTATAGGTCAGCATCAAACATATCTTGTAATGAACATAAAGGCCTTTTTGGCACAAACTTTATCTATAATTTCTTGTGGTATTTTTGTTGAAACTGATAACTAGCAATCTGAAGGAGTAAAATTTGGATTACATTTTCTAGAAATTTGCACACAGCAACTGAGAATATGTCTAAAGAAGTCTTTAAAGTTATGCCAATATATAATAAGACAGTTTGGTAGAGGTTCTTCACAATAGCCACTAATATCTTTCTTGAAATTAGCAAATGATATGAATACTGTAATAACATTATAGTTGTTAATGCTAAAATTATAATATGTGCTCTGAACCGCAACCACATTTTTGTTATATTTTTTCTTTACATCAGCCTTCTCAAAATAGCCTTTCCACAATTTATTTTGGATGCATACTATTAGTTCTGATTTTTCCTAATATTTTTGTGAAATGTTAGTAAAGATACTAATTTCCTAAAAAAATATGACATTTTTAAAATACCAATGTTTACAAAAACAAATAAAAAATCAGCAAATGATACTTTATCCCCATTCACAATCACATTTGACTTGAAGTTCACAATTTCACCTTGCTTATTAGTAATAAGGTAAGTGGTTAGAAACTTATTACGAAATTGATGAACAGTAATTTCTTTGAGTTCAACTTTTATCTCTAAAGATATCTTGTCACTATAAGATATTTTTAAGAGTCACTTTCTTATACCCAAAGTAGAAGAAAACCCTAATACTAAATGCCATATGTTCTGCAACAAGTATTTCAAAATCATGCCATTTCATTTTCCATCCTAGCAAGAATAATATTTTCAACTTGTCTGCTACTACAAATGATTTGAGAGCTTGAATGTAAAGATGAATAAAAATAGGGGGTAATATAATCAAGATACAATTGTCATTTTCAGCATAATTTATCAGAATCAAATGTTGATCACGCTCTAAAGACTCTAGAGTATCAGAATATTTGACTGAAAGAAGGTCTGACTTCTTTAATGAAATTTCTGCAAAATATCGATAAATAATGACTTCAGTAAGTTCATTTTGATAAATAACCTATGTTGTAATTGTGTACATATTGTCAATATCTTTTGCCATATTACTGTGGATTGCATTATAATGCAACAAATTAATATCTTTAAAAAAATTTTCTGTTCTTTCATATCTCTTTCCAAAGTAGCATTTCAAATACTCAATTGCTCATAGGAATCCATCTGTATCACATAACAAAAAATACATCTATTCTTGCATGTTCTATATATCTAAAGGAAGCCTTTATTATTTGCAAAATAGTTCATTATGTCAATTTATGATTGCATATTCAGCAAAGAAAAATTGACAAATTCAAAAATATATATCGTAGGTTTCTTTTGCTTTATAGTACAATTCTTGAAAGAAAAGGCTAAATGAAACTTAAATTGGAATTATCAAGCATAAATCTTTCAATATTGTATAATATACCCTTGAATATACCCTTGGGTTACCATAATTCATATCAGCTTTCTAGCCTTTAAAATCAAAGATGATCTGAAATTCATCAATTTGTAAAAATAAAAAGAGAAACTAATTGTCTGTAAGGTCTAGATACTCAAGAATTTTGAGAATCATATTATTAGTATAAAAATATTTTTCCTGGTTAAGTGTTAGAACAGTTTAGCTAAATGTTGAAAATGTCACATTATAATTGCTTTAGATGAAAAAAGCATATACAATCTGCAGAACAACAAGTATTTTTATTGATAGTTCACTATCACCTCTATCTAATTGAATACCATTGCTGAAATTATTAAAAATATATTGAAATGAAATTTATTGTTTAATGATTAATATTTTTTGCTTTACTTTCTCAAACAACTTTTTTTTATAACGAATTTTCCTTAAAATAAAATCAAATGTTATCATTAGAATATGTTCAAAAAATAGAATAATAAATGATTTAACACTGATACCTATTTTAGGAATTCTTTTAGCTACAAGAATTCTGAAATCTGACTTGACTTTAAGAGTTTCCTCCCATTCATATTTCTTTGAATTTTCAATATTATTTTAAATTTTTTCTAAATCGTTAGAGAAATTATAGCCTTTTAATAAAATGATTTTAGTTTTAGCAATTTCAGAGAATTTCTTTAAAGTACTAAAATTTAACAAAATTATATTCATAATATCCTTAAGTAATGAAAGGTGAACTATAAAAGCAAAAATTTTTTAAAAATAATACAAATCAATTATAAATAATATATTAATATCAAATAAACGAAATGGAATAAATGAAAAATATATTTTTTATGCAATTTGTTCATTACTTTTTTCTTTACCTTAAGCAGTTTTTTATTCCACTTTATTTTCACCTTCTCCTACTTTTCCTTTGACTCCTCAAATTTTTCTTTATTTCCTTCTAAAATTTATCGTTCACTAACATATTCCTCTTTGCTTCTCTGCATTTTTTAATTTATTTTTTATTTCTTTGATCATTGCCATTTTTTAAAACAAAATATTTGTAGAATTAATTTTTTTTTAAAAAAAAAATTGATTTAAATCGTAATTATTAATTGTTTTCTATAAATAATTTGTATTAAGGTGGCCCATTTTCTGTGGTAACATAATATATGCAGAAATCATGATTTTTTGCAATAGCATATACTGTTACAGATTTAATTAAGTCCACATTTTTTGCATATCATATAGTATATCTGCAGTTAAAATCTATAGATTAAAATTGTGATGCGAGATGTTTATTATCTTTTTTTTACAATAGTTTCAGCAACTGAGTGTAGACTTGAAAACTCAGAATATAAAAAGAATTTTTATGTTGATAGGTAAAAATTGTTTTGTGAATTTTGCCAAAATGTTTTAGATCATAAAAAAAAATCTATATTAGATACACATTTAAAATCAAACAAACATAAAAAAAATATACGCAAAGTCAAAAATAAAATAAGAGTTCATCAAACCACTCTTAATGTCAATAATAATGAGTTAAATGAACGTGAAGTCTTTAATATTGCTTTAGTAAAAGCATTTACACATACAAATATATCACTTGAAAAAGTAAATAAGCTTAAGGATTTTTTTTGAAATTTGTAAAAATAGTATATAAAATCTATTTTATATTTAATTTATCATTTAATATGTTATTAACTCATTAATTATATTATAGGTGGAATTATTGCAGGCTCTTCTTTATTATAAGAAAAATATTTGCCAATTGTCTTTAATATGAAGGTTTCTAACATGCAAGAAATAGTATATAATAGGCGTATATCTATTACTATTGATGAAATAACAGATGTTTGTGATCAGGCAGCTATCAATATAATGTTTAGTTTTGGTAACCAAACTAAATTAGTTAAAACAGAATTTTTGGATGATACCATTAATAGTATTATTATTGCTTAATTAGTTATAAGAATCTTACAATTTTATAATATTTTTCATGATAATCTTATTTTTTTATTTCTAATAATGTAGCATATATGATAAAAGTCTTTCAAATATTATCTCCATTAATTTTCCAATTAAAGCATAACCATTGTTTAGCTCACATTTTAAACTTGGTTGGAGAAACATGAATTAGTTATAAAAGTTTCAAATTTCTAATTAAAATTGTAGCAAATATAAAAAAATCCATCATTTATTGCCCTGCTCTTAAAAGAAGATAGACTGTTTTTTTAAATTCCTTTATTTCTTCTACCACAACTCCTTCTAATCAAAATTCAATTACATTACCACTTTTATCTGTGAAAACCTGTTGAAACTCATGGATTAAGTTTGTTTTTTGGATTAACCAACATATACCACAATTATGTAAATTTTATATTGAAGAAGAAGTCATTGATGAGAAAAGTGAAGCTGTTCAAGAATTGGTAACAATTTTTAAAAATTCAGTACATGTTTTTACATTTGAAATTTTAGTTATGTTTATTTCATTTAATGCAAAGCGGTAAGTTAATTTTTATTCCTTATTTATA